ACTTCTCCAGAGCCTCTTACATCCTCTGGAACTCCCTACCACAGTATGTCCAGTCAGCCCGCACTCTGTGTGCCTTTGAAAACTCACTTATTCAGGGAAGCCTACCTCACCTCCACCTAAAAAACTGTACCTAAATAACCTCCACCAGATCATCCCCTGCAGCTATCACCTTTTGTATCACCTCCCCCTTTCTTTAGATTGTAAGCTCCACATGCAGGGCCCTCCTATTCCTTCTGTACTGAAATTTATTATAACAGTACTGTCTCCCTTATATTGTAAAGCGCTGCGCAAACAGTTAGAACTATAAAAATCCTGTATAATAATAATAACAACTGCTGTTCTAGGTCCTGCGTGAAAAGTCCTGAGCAGGGGCGGACTGACAACTCATGGGGCCCCAGGGCAATAGGGGATCATGGGGCCCCTGTGTCCTTGCCCAAACTAAAAAAGCCTATGAAAAGGGTATCAAGGGCATCTCATGGGGCCCCCTACTGACCCCGGGCCCTCGGGCAGTGCTCGAGTTTCCAAATGGTCAGTCCATCCCTGGTCCTGAGATATTCAGACTGAGTCTCCCAATTTCTCTTGACACTATTTGAACCTTTATCTTTATTTGAACCCAATTGCATATGAGAACCATTACAAAGGCTATTATCAATCATCTATATCAATATCTGTTTATACACAAATAATAATTTGTATTTTGAGAAGTCATTGAATGGAGCCCTTTGGAAACAATGCCCAACACTGGGTGTATGGGTTCGGTACAGGATTCTACTTTACCCATCCCTACCCTTAATACAGATTGGGCAAGTCTTAGTATATGCTAAAATTTCTTCCTTCCATTGACCTATGCAAAGTAGGTGAACTGTTGATAAAGCCATAAGACACATGAGGGTTTATTTACTAAAGGCAAAATTGCCCCAGAGCTTAGTAAATGAGGGGAAGCTCTGCTGATTTCCATTATCCAATCATGCGCGAGCAAAAATTATGTTCTTTTTTATTTTATTTGATGTGATTGGGAATTCTTTGCAAAGTGAAGCCTCACCTCATTTACTAAGCTTGGGAGTAACTGTACTTGCAAAGTGCACAGTCTGTTTGCCTTTAGTAAATAAACCCTATAGTTTTGCAAGTATGCATGCAATATTTATAGAGTTTGCATTTAAAAAAAGGCCTGAAATTACAGTTTTAATTGTGAATAGATCGTGACAAAAAAGGTATTGATATACCTCAGATATAGTTTAACCATTTGCCGGCCACCCTATGGCCGAATGGCGGCCGGCAAATGTCATCAGCGTCCTGGGCGTCCATATGGCGTCCTCCCGCACACCGGCCGTGTACCTCGGATACGGCCGATGACAGATCTGAGTACCGGCCCTCCTTGCCGGTACCATGTGACCTGTTGTGACCAACCACAGCAGGTCACATGACAGTTGTATACAATGGATGGCTTCATTCATGCCATCCATTGTATACTAGTGTCTAGCTGTGAATGGTCACAGCTAATCACATGCACATGTCAAAAAAAAAAACCCTGAATGAATCAATGTCATTCAGGTGAATGCTTGCTTATAGCAAAGTAATTCTTTGCTATAAGCAAATTGTGTAAAAAAAAAAAAAAAAAAAATATGATCACTTCCCCAAAGTAGTACAATGTTACTATGGTAACATTGTACTACTTTGGTCATAGTGAAATTTGAAAAAAAAATCTTTAAAAAATTATAAAATTAATAAAAAAAAAAAAAAAAAAAAAAATATATATATATATATATATATATATTTTTTTTTTTCATACTGTCACCAGTCAGTGTCCCTGATCACTGCCATGCCAGTTATATTATGACGCTGTACTTCACTGGTGACAATATGTAAAAAAAAAAATAGTGAAACAAATTTTTTTAATTTTTTCATTTTCCGAAAAATTATGACAAAAAAAATACAACTTCAAAAAAACTCGCCATGCCTCTTATGAAGTACGTCGGACTGTCTACTTTGCAAAAAGGGGTCATTTGGGGGATATCTGTACTGTTCTGACATTCTTGGACCTCAAGAAATTAGATTGGCTGTCAGTACTTCAGGATTGATCAATATTCAGATCTATACCATAGTTTGTGAACTCTATAACTTTCCTACAAACTAAAAAATACATCCTAATTTGGGTTATTTTCACCAAAGACATGTAGCAGAATACATCTTGGCCTAAATTTATGAAGAACAATTATGTATTACTTTTATAACAGAAACAAAGAAAAACGTGTGTTTTTTTTTCAAAATTCTTGGTCTTTTTTTGTTAATTTAGCAAAGAATAAAAAAAACCAGCGGCGATTAAATACCACCAAAAGAAAGCTCTAGTTGTGTGAAGAAAATGATAAAATGTTAGTTTGGGTACAATGTTGTATGACCGCGCAATTGTCATTCAAAGTGTGAGAGCGCTGAAACCTGAAAACTGGCCTGGGCAGGAAGGTGTAAAATTGCCCGGTATTCAATTGGTTAAATACTGTCCAAATCTACTGTTAACATTTTGCTGTACTAAATACTGCTATATAAAGCACCTTTGTATTTATTCCTACTCCAAAAAACTGTTATCTTTCTGTTCAGCATGAATCTTGCATACTGAACTTCTATGTACAATGTTATTAATATTATGAAAATTGTCAGCCTAGATAGTAAAGATATTAGTACCCACATCTATTGTCTGTGTTCAGATACAGTACCTACCTTGAATTTCTGGATATTTTGTCATGAGAAGAAGACCCCAGCGGATGGTGGCTGCTGTAGTTTCCATTCCAGCGGAAAACAAATGTCTCACAAGACTTAAGAGGTTTCTGTCGTGAAAGTATGTACCAGGATTATTTTCCTCCTGAAGAATTCAGTGCATACAAGTTAGAACTGCGTAACACATAAAACCTCAAGAGTTTTATTTTAGAATTATTCTCAGCAGGAAACTTATATGTAGCCAAGTCCAGGCTGTGTCAGTCTGCAATCCAGGGACATCTGCAGCCTAGACTGAGATTCTCTTTCTTCCCCTCTAGTTTTCACCTCAGAGCAATCACTTAATTTCCTGTTAACAGAGTGGGAACTGGATCTTTCAAGGAGAGGATCGTGGAACTTGTAGTCTAATAACCAGGGGCGGACTGACCATTTGGAAAATCGGGCACTGCCCGAGGGCTCGGGGTCAGTAGGGGGCCCCATGAGATGCCCCTGGTACCTTTTTTTTTTCATAGGCTTTTTTGAGTTTGGGCAAGGACACAGGGGCCCCATGATCCCCTATTGCCCGGGGGCCCCACGAGTTGTTAGTCCGCCCCTGTTCATAGCCTAGTTACATTGTATTCTTCAGCATTGTCTAGACTACACTTACCTGAAGGAAAGAAACTGAAGGGCATTCTGGGGAAGCGGATATATTTCCCTGCAGCAGTTGAGCTGGGGCTCTTGGCGCTGGGATTTGGAGCTGGACTGAGGGGAGCATGTGTCTTTTCCCCTCAGGACTAGGCTGTGGCTCACCACTGTTCAGCGCAGTGATCCTGTTCTGGAACCCAGCATCAGCCAACACCGCAGGACGACCCTCAATGTTCCAGGGGCCTCAGTATCATCCATAAATCGGGTCGGTCATTGCTAGTCACCTTTCAAGTATCGCTAACTTCTGTCCTGATCAGTTGACAGGAGGTGATCCAGTAAATCGATCTGCCTTTTACAGAACACAATCTACCGGATCCTACCAAGTGAATGGTAGTTAATTCAAGCCTGTTCAAACTTACATTCAAAACAAGGGCCACACCGTTTACTACCAGAAGACATCAGAACTTTACACCTCAGAAACTTTAACATTATAGCACGTCGGGTGAATGGAAACACATCATATTTACCATATCTTCTATGACAAGCTATGATGTACATTCTATGTATGATGTTATGTACTAAAAGCCATTTATATTTGTGGTTCTCATTATTTTAAATTTGTATAAATAAAATGCATATTATATTTTTACTACAAGTTGTGATATGAGTGCCTAGAAAAGTCCCATTGGGGGTTTAACAAAATATCTGGAAGTGTAATATGGGTTGAACTTTCTCTTTCCCAAAAAGTGTTCAGGCTGGATGGGGTAGATGGCAGGTTGATGAGAACTAGGAGTCCCCTGTGAGCTATAAATCAATGCTAAAAGATGCCTCTCTGGAGTAGGCCCGGAGTAGGAATGAGAAGGAAGCCAATATTAGGGAGAACCTTACAAAGGAAGAAAGATGGGAGAGCTTGATGGCACCCCCATGTTAGGATGGAACAAGAATTGACAGTGGTATGGTTAATCAATGTGAAGTAATCTATGTATGATCTAACTGAAGATTACCTTGTGTTCTATTTCCATTCACAGTAAATCATTCTAAATGGCTAATTTTGTGAACTTTTATTTAGTGGAAACCAAAAGGTAGAGCACCACTAGAAAGTGGGAGTAGGAGTACATGAGCCAAAATGGTGGAATTCCCCCATAATTAATACCCCATCTCATTCCTGTCTCAAAAAGACAAAGGGAGGTGCCCTGGGCCAGCTTGGCTTTTTTTGGTGGCCAATCAGGGACTTACTTTCCTTGACACATGAGGAAGTACATTAGTACAAATGCATTATTGAATAATGATAGGGGCATAACCAGGCATAAAATGGGGAAAATCTGCAAGAGGGAATCCCAGAATTATAAAAAGGTGACTGGGGTTTTAGTCTTCCCCCCTACGCTGAAAAAAAAAAGGGGGGGGGTTTCTGTCTGTGTTGCTGTTGAAGAGTTTCCTTCACCAGGAAGCTTGGTGAAACCATTGTCAGACAGGGAGTAAGAAGAAATAGGCCTAACTGAGCTCCAAATACAGTAAAACCCAACACAGGTTCTTATCCCTCCAATGGTATCTTACTTTACACAACTGGACATACAATTTAATGTATTTTATTGAAGAACCATGGTAAGAACTCCCACCTCTTTTTGTTTTACAAGAAAGGCATCAATGAAACTTCTCTTATCATCCACATCCAGCTCCTTTAGATGATTGACAAACGTCTTTGTAATAAACTCATTTACTGCTGCTATATTGCTGAGAAGTGTTTTGTGACTCCCAGGTAACAGACCAACAACACCAGGAAACATATTGTACAGCTGAAAAAAAATGGGATAAATAAAATTGTTTAGTATTTCACTGACAATCTTACTATTCCCTGACTACAGCACATAAATATAGGAATTTAACCACTGCCTTCATCAGGCAAAAAGCCCCTATGTTTGGATAATATTATTTTGCTTATCAAACATTTTGTTCATGATACATCCCTGGAAGAGGAAATCAAAACACACAGGAACAGTGTACAAAGAATGACAAGCATTTTAGCTTTACAATGTGAAAGGGGGCCAAATATTCATTTTGTATGTTTTCACGGGGGGAGAGGGGTATTTGAACATGGCCACTGATCCACAGAAGCTTAACATGTAAAGCCTTTATTTTGCAATGCATTTCACTTATAAAAAATTACTGGAAAGTGATTACTGAAATCATTGGTGTTCCAGCAAGCCGAACATTCTCATTTGTTAGCCTTAGAAGTTTTAGAAAGGTGGGGTCTTCATAATCCATGCGATGTCCAAGGGTAACAGACACGATGATGTTTCCAACTGCAGCAGTTATAATCACAGAATTGTCAAAGGGTTTCCCTACAAATGGAAAGAAAAATGTTAATAATGAATATTTGTATCCCTATATGGCAGCTTGGTCCTAAGGCTAAGCTGTGACGTCTAAAAAAAAAAAAAAAAAAAAAAAAAAAAGCCTGTTTATAGTGGTGTAGCTATTGAGCTATATGGGGACCCCAATGAAACAATCAATAGGCATTGGTGTAAATGTCACCATCCCCACCAGTCATTACCGCCAGTGTGTAACCTGTCTGTGGCGGATAACTGCTGTGGAACTTTTCTTTGTTGCTGTTGTATTATCCTTCTGCAGTGTGGACAGGATTAAACCTGCAGGAGTGCAGGAGCCATCGTTAAGGAGACCACTTTGTAACGCTCATCTATGGAGTGTCTCCAGTGCAGGGAGCAGCCATTTTGGCTGGGTCTTAAGCAGCCTGCAGGACAGTTATTGAATGATGCAATGGAGCAAGAAAAAGTGTGATCAGGAGGTGGTTGAAAGAAAAGAAGAGAGGACTGTCTTGAAACAAGAAAGTGTGTGGGAAAGACACCGATGAATGGATTCCTGCCATAGCTAACAAATATTGGGCAAGACCTCAGAGAAGTAAAGAAACTGAGAACCTTCTCCCTGGGAAGGTGTGATTTGGATGCCTGATGAGATCAGACTGTACTAGAGAGCACTCCCACCACTTTTAAGGTAGGAAAGAGGGACTGTCTCAGCAGGATTGAAAGAGAGATTACTGTATAGGCAACTTCTATCCTTGTCTGACTTGAACTTGACTTTTACTGCACTGGGCCCCCAAAGATGGTGGCCTGGGTCTGATGGGAGACTAACATCAAACAACTTAATCTGTTCTCTGTTGGAAATGAATGCGCTTTCTTCAAGGGCCCTAACTTTGCCAGCTAAACTTTCTTTGATTTGGGTTAGAAGTTGGTTAGTACCATGATTGATTAGTACCAAGTTTTACCATTGTCCCCAGTGACTCAAATATATTGAAAACACAAACATTTTCGCAAAGATGCCAACAAAGGCAGCCTCATATACAGTATTTAATTTATGACTAGTGCATTTTAATTTTTAGGGATAAGATTAGTGCCAGGATTAAGGTTAGATGAATGCAATATTATGTGTTTGGAGGGAGAGTGATTAGATTAAATGTACAGATCTCCTGATGTAGAAACCTCACATTCCACTTTTTTTAGTATCTTCTACACAGAACACATTCACGATGCTAACAGTTTGTACTTTATAAACAAGAAGATTAAAAATGAATACTGTGAAGAAGAAAACATGACAAGTTTTAAATAGGCCAAGTGTGATTCATTATGCTACACCTTGAAAAGTCTGGAACACCTGTAACAAATGATCACTTTCTTCCAGAATTTTGTCTTCTATAGTACTTTTTCCCATGCCAAAATCACGTAATGTGCTGATAGTAAATCTTCTCATGGCTTTCCAGTTTTCATCATGCGCAAAAATGACACCTGGAGAAAAGACATTGAGCACATTAAAGTGTCACTTTATTCTATCACTAATTATGCAGCTTCTGGTGCTAAATACAAGTAAAAAAAAAAAAAAAAAAGTGTTTCCCTAATTTCAAATATTGACGCAAACTCCAAATTGATCCTAAGGCTGTTGCAAGTGTGCCTGCATGCCTAAAAAAAGTTCCAGCAGCATGTTTAAACCGCATTGGTCTGGAACAATCACATCACGCTTTTGCATATGGTGATTTCCCTGTGGTTCCCACATCCGAACATGCACTGTGGTTTTAGATGTGTGGGGGTGCCATTAGGAACGAACGGCAGCCCCAGGAATCTTTAAAGAGCAGTGTGTTATGACTGCGGGTGGTTGCGCGTATGGGAACAACTCTAATTCTCATACCCGCAGCCACCTCCAATAGTGTGAACCTAGCCTAACACTATCTGTGATGGAGACATTAGAGCGTGACTTGCTTTGGAGCAGGAGCCAAGGTGAATAATTCTTTCTACTCTGTAAAGCAATGGGGAATATATTGGTGCTCTGAATATATAAAGAATATATGTAAGAAAATTAGAAAGGTTTCTGGAATGCTTAAAATTAGCCACTTGCCGTATGCCCTATAGCAGAATTACTGCTACAGGATGGACGTTCTGTGCAAAATCACATATATAAAAGTGATTTTGCACTTCCGCCACTGGGGGGTACATACCTGCTGCCGAAGCACCGCTTCTGTTGTGACTGGACACAGCAGAAACCAATCAACAAGTGCCAGCCAATGGATGAGCACTGGCACCTGTTGATTGCTGAGGAGACTGCCAGAACACAGCTCTGCCTATGTAAACAAAGCAGAGCTGTGTTATGTTAATGGAAATCTGCTAGATTTTATACAGAGAATGAAATCTAGCAGATTGCCTAGTAAAAACAGTACAATGTACACACAAAAACACTGGCTAAGCAAAACAATTAACTCTTTGATTGCCCTAGATGTTTAACCCCTTCCCAGCCAGTGTCAATAATACAGTGGCAGTGTATATTTTTAGCACTGATCACTGTATTAGTGTCACTGGTTTCCACAAAGTGTCAGTGTCAGCCGCAATATTGCAGTCCTGCTATAAGTCGCTGATCTATACTGCCATTTGTAGATGCTATAACTTTAGCGCAAGGTCAAGTGGTTACCAAAAAAAACAGTAAACTTTTTTTGAAGCAGACTATGAACACTAAATTACTTGCATATTCTGAAGCCCAAAGTCACCTCAGTCAGTATAGTCATTAATGACAAATTCATCTTCAATGTTGACAACAAAAGCATCAAACTTTCAGCTATTTTCTTTGGAGAGCAGATCTTGGCAGCCTGACAGCTATCTAATGTAAAGAAACAGCAGATGTTTCTTTGCTTTTAGAAATGGAATGAAACCTAACTTTAGATCCTCTGTTGTGATCTTTGAGGATTGTATATTTTACACTACAAGCAAATAAACAGAATGATTGAGGATAGTTTTAGAGCATTTAGGCTTCATTAACACTTGCAGCTGGGGAGTGTGGTGGTGAAAAGCTTCAGTTGAGTTTTTTACTACCCCCCAACAGCTCCCCCTTAACCTGCAAAGGCAGCACACGATGGTGTACGCATGGCAAAATGATCCATCTCCATGCATTTGCTGAATACTACTACCTGTCAAAAGCAGCTCATGCATTCAAATGGGGCCCAGATGGGACACGATCGTGCATGGGATTTTTTTTGGGGGGGCAAAACCATGGATTGCTCTTCAGAGGGTACCACGAGTCTAAAAAAGTAATTATACTGCTTGTTAAAAGATATTTAAATAGTTTAGTGTCCACAATGTTGAAAAATACTCATCACTTTTCCATACTACATTTAAAATGCATTCTTACCCATTCCTTTATCTATTTTTTCAAAAATTGGAATATATGCTCTTTCACCAAACTCCTCTGCCTGTCCAACTAGAGCATTCTTCACAGTCTCATACCCGGCCAACACCACCATTTTTCTCATTCCCATCTGAATGCTGAATACTGAGCCATACGTCTCTGAAAGCTGAAATGGAGGGAAAAAAAAAAAAAAAAAAACAGGAAATATTTCTTAAATACTTGGTGCCATAAAACACACTGAAACATATTTGAAGAGTGATACATGCAAAAGTGGAAGCCACAATTCTAGATACAATCCCTAAATTCTTGAATGTCTGGAACCCCTGGGTTGAGTGTTTCCTCCCGCCAAATTTTGACAAATCACTTCTTCTCCCCTGATATGTAAACTATACATTTTAGGCACTACTCTTGAACCACCTCATACAATACATGTATTACCACACCCCTTCCCTACCTTTCGTGGAGTCATTACTGTCGCTCTTCTTTTCCTCCCCCCCCCCTCTCCCCCCCTTTTTCGGCCCTCCTCTGATTTTTCTTAACTCGTCACATAGCTTTAGAGAGTCATTACCCCTACTGGTCACATTTATCAATATTCTATCACCTCTCACTCATTTGATACAACTAGAAATGCTGCATTGTTTTCTTGATTTTTTCTCTCCCCCTCATCATAAAGACATTGACGCTGTAACTTTTATTCTCTATGTTTTGTTGTCAGTGTAATGTCTAATGTATACTGGTAATGTCTTTCTACCTTTGTTACATTGTTACATTGTAAATAAAATGTTTGAACGAGAAACATATTTGAAGAGTAAAAATATCAAGCCCATCTGAACCTTCTTACTGTAATGCATTCATTATATCAGCTAAATGATGCAGAAGGGGTTGGCAAGGAACAAGGCTTAAGGGAAAACTAGGAAAAATGGAAGCCAATTATAATCAGCAGAGGAACAGTGGATATGAGCATAAAACAAAATGCTTTCATTTATATATATGCTAGACAAAAACAGAGCAAAAAAGAAGTTCAGTGTTTGGATTTCCATACACTGGCCTATTCAGGTATTCTTCTTTCTTCTGCAAAAAGTACTATTTGGCACATACATTTTGAATCCAATGTTTTGCTTCCTATTTATTGTGTTTCATAAATCCATTCAAGGTTAAAAGACAAATTTTATTGCAAGAATCCCCCCTCCCCAACACACACACCACAGAGTCCTCAGTAGATAAGCTGCATTGTAAATCTATATCTCAGAAGATATTCAAAGAGATATAAATAATATAGGTTGCTTAAAATGGAACTGATGTCCCATAAGAAAGTGTACAAAATATCTTGTGTTTGCATATCTAAAGATATGTTGATGCTCTGTGTCAATCTTTTGATTGTTTGATAATTAGGTTGTTCTTGACTTCTAGTCAGAGTCCATACGCAGGATTTCCTCCTCATCATGTGCACCATCTTTTCTGGGAATAAAGGCAATGTCAACGCCTATGGTAATGAGCTCTATAGATCTACAGCTTGGGGTTCCCCAGGGCGCAGAGTCTAAGCCCCAGCCTGCTTGTTCACCAGGGCCCCTGATGGTGGGGATGGACTTGCAGCGGGCTGGGACCAGGTCGCGGCCCCCAGGTACACCCAGCTGAGGTGGAGGAGACCGCTAGCGGGAGCAGGGTACAATAGGAGAAGACACAGGGAATCCAATGGGCAAGCCGAGGTCAGGACAGGCGGAAAATAAGCAAGGTCAGGAACAAAGCCAGAGTTGGCACACAGATAGACAACATAGAATTCACAGCGGAAACATATGGGAGCTCCAACAACACAAAGTTGCTCAGGCAAAGTGGGACAGACTGAGCGTGTCTTAAATACACAAGCAAGCTAGGAGGCGGGCCAGGAAGTGATGGAAGGGAAAGACATAAAACCCAGAGGATAGCAGACGACGCCCACAGGTGAGCACAGACAAACACATGTGAAGGAATCAAGAGCAGCAAGGAGGTAAGAATAAACACACACAAGGGGCTGCAGGCTAACTTGTGACAGCAATACAAAAACTGAAAAACAACAGTAATGCCCACCTAGGAGAGTGAGAACTTCCATTATACCAGATTTCCCTTGCAGCTGTGTATCATGGGATATGTTGTCATATGACCACTCCCAGTCCTGAAACAGTGTGAGACCAGCTAGGTCCCCAATCATCTGTTCACCATGAGGGTTGATCATGGTGATCTCATGATGTTAATTTACAAGCAAACCTGCAAGCTACATCTGTCTATGTGCAATTTTATAAAAAAAGAATACACACACATATATATATATATATATATATATATATATATATATATATACACACACATACACACATATACATACACACACACACATATACACACACATTATATTGCCAAAAGTAAAAAAAAGCCACTCCAAATCATTGTGTTCAGGTGTTCTAATCACCTCCATGGCCACAGATGTATAAAATCAAGCACCTAGGCATGCAGACTGCTTCTACAAACATTTGTGAAAGAATGGGTCGCTCTCAGGAGCTCAGTGAATTCAAGTGTGGTACCGTGATAGGTTGTCACCTGTGCAATTAGTCCATCCGTGACATTTTCTTGCTACTAAATATTTCACAGTCACCTGTTAGTGGGATTATAACAAAGTGCAAGCAACTGGGAACAACAGCAACTCAGCCACCAAGTGGTAGGCCACGTACAATGACAGAGCGGAGTCAGCGCATGCTGAAGCACACAGTGCGCCAACTGTCTGCAGAGTCAATAACTAAAGACCTCTAAACTTGGTGCGGCGTTTAGATTAGCACAACAACCGTGCGTAGAGAGCTTCATGGAATGGGTTTCCATGGCTGAGAGGCTGCATCCAAGCCTTACATCACCAAGTGCAATGCAAAGCATCTGATATGGTGCTGAAAACCACGCCGCCACTGGACCCTAGAGCAGTGGGGATGTGTTCTCTGGAGTGATGACTCACACTTCTCTGTCTGGCAATCTGA